CCTCATTTTCGCGGTCAAAGTCACCGGAAAATTTTTCCTCTAATTTGAAAATAAGCAACTTAGATTAAGCATAAACATACCACATCAAACTAAGCTCAAAACTCACAAAACCAACATAAAACTCACACACCCTTATTACAATCTTATCTCTTCAAGAACCACAAATTTACATCCATAAATCCAAGCTTAAAGTTGGCTAGAAATTAATGGAGGGGAGTTTAAGAACTTACCCTTGAAGAATTCTCTCTTTCTCTTGAAAAACCCTTGAACTCCTCTAGGATTGTTAATGGCTTGAAACTATAAGAGTATAAGGAAATTTGAGAAGAATATTTCTCTATTTCAAACTTTCCCAAAACATGAAAAAGAGAGGATTTAGAGTTTCTTTACCCTTAGAGGAATGCTTGACTAGTCTCCTCCTAGAATCCCTTAATCTCCTTCTTCTTCTTCTATGGTGTGCTAGGGGCTCAAGTTTTGGAGAGTGGGAGAAAATATTTGAGAGGAAATGGAGAGTGTGTGGCCGGATTTTTTGAGTGGGGAAAAAGCTAGGAGAAAAAAAATGAAGCTTATCCTATGTTGGTTCCTTTTATAGGCACTTGGAAATTATTTTTTTTAACACCAATTCCACTCCATCATTCAACCAAATTTTTGGTTCAAATCCCCCTTTCTTGGCCGGTTTTGGAAGGAGAAAAGAAGAAGCAACTTTGCCATTAATTCCCCTTCAACCACTAACATCACATCACCTTAACATAAAGTCCTCTAGCACACTCCACTAGCCAAAGGTTTGGCTCTATTTTTTCATGCATGGCCGGCCAAGTGGAGGAAGGGAGAGAAAAAAATCTCACCTACCCCATTGTACTCTTGTCCACTTTCTTAAGTTTCCCTTAGAAACTGATAAAAATTATACTGACTATAAGAGAGTAACTTAGCTAACAGGAATTCGTTTCCATTTCTGACGGTTCCTTTTTCTACTGTTTATTTACAGTTAAATGTTAAATCCTTGACTGCTTTGGATATCACATTAAATTCTTATTCGCGTAATATCTTGAACTGTTTACAGTCTTGAAATTAATTCTAGACTGAACAAATTCTAAATTTAACTATCCTGCGTTAATTTTCAGAAATGACGTTGTTTCTGACGGTGTCAACTCCCGAGTTCACATTATACCCTTCTACTATGGGTATTTATCTTCTGACTTTAACCTAGCTGTCTGGCAATTAAGGATTTTCTCTTTTTTTAAAAATGTCAGTGCGTTTTTTTTTTACGCTGCTAACATCATGCTGTGTTTGGAGATTCTTGAAATTAAGATTCTCAAACTATACTTGTACTGAAAATTATTCCGCCTTAAAGTACGGCAAGAATTTATCGATCGAATTTACTTGATCGAAAACATGAACTTAACATGAAATCTGCTACAGAATTTAGGAATACATCTATTGATTCCATAAATCCTTCAGTCACATAATATTTTCTAGGAAAATCCTTGGCTTAAATAAATAAATTGTATTATTTAAAGTCTGGAATTTTCTCAGTCATTACAAAAATAGTCGTTGGACGGGTTTTCGTACATTCGGGTAGCTCGGGTATTCGGGTAAAATTTGGGTTTTCGGGCACCAACGGTCGTAATTTTGACCGTTTCTTGCGATTTTCGGGCAAATCGGGCTTGGCCGGAAAAATTCAAAAAAAAAAACTCCAGCTAATGGCGCCTACATGGCGGCGGGCTCCGGCGAGGTGCCCAAATTCGAGCTGCCCGAGCCCGAGCCTGAAATACCACTTTGGACGGACCGGCATATGGGCCTGCTCGCCGAGCCTGAAAAATTCGGGCAGCGGGCCTGCCTGCCTGCTCGCCGGCCCAAAGTTCCACCACTATTTGTATACACATCGTAGGCATCCAAAGAATATACACTTGTTCCCTCCTTGCATGAATAAGGAATGAGATACTTAATAGACGTTTAGTTCACAGATTCAGAATTATTCTTAATTTACGTGTGTTTTTAAGAATGAGATACTTAGTGGACTTTTTGTCGTCGCTAATAGCCATTTTTCTTGTAATGTGAGAGAAAATACTGTAATAAGTCACAAATCATAATTCGAATCATAACACGAATTCTCATATCAAACATCATCTTCAATACATAGAAGGAATATTCCGTGCCAATTATTAAATAATTTCCCATAGTCAGTGTATTATTACTTTATTATCTTTCTTCTTGTTGTTGCCAATTCTTTGTTTTACTTGCTAGCTAGAACTTCGACATAGTCAAAGCTGTAGAGTCGTTCAGGGAAGTTGTGAGTGTAAAGCCGTAGTGTTTTAGCTAAAAGGTAAAATATCTGAAGCACGTATATTCTAAATACAAATATAACTACAATATATAAAAATATTAAGGGTCTCCATTTTTAAAATAATTTTATTTTTAATATAAAAATAAAAATAAGATTGTTTTGAGAATTATTAAATCAATTATGAAATTGCATTGATCTTTTAAGAGATTATTTTGAGTATAATAAAAAAATAAAATTGTGTTTGATTATAATTATTAATTAATATATTATAAGTTATAACATTGTTGATAAGTACTAGAAAATGAAAATAAAAAAGAGAAAATAACTTTCCACCGTTTTCTAATTCATTCACAAAAACCATTCTCATTGTTTTTTATTTTTTTTTTTCGTTTTCAAAATATTTGCTAAATAAATACGGTTTGCAGATCGTTTTCATTTTCGTGTCTCAAAAGATGTGCAAAAACACTTTTAAAAACAAGTAAAAATCAATTTCAAACACACTTTAAGTCATTTAACTTAACATGTTAACCTTACTTAAATGGTCAATCTCTTATACAGTAACCTTCTTCCCTCAATTTCCTTCTCATGATCACTGCTGCCTTTTTCTCTTTCTAACAAACGTAATTTATTAGACTATTGGACCTTCAAAAATACAATTGTGATCAACTGGCTAACAAAGTCAAACTGATATTTGAAATTGAATACTTGATTTTTTGGTTTAGAATCAAGGACAAATGGCTAGCTACATGTTTTGGTGGAGTTCACACTTTCCACAAAGAGAGGCAACAAGTGCTAATAATTCAAAAGCTTCCAAGATTTTCGTGACAAAGATATGTTTCCTTTTCACACTTTTTAAGGGGAACGAACATGGGAAGTGAATGAAGCACCATTGAGAGTGATTTGTAATATGTCAAAACAAAAATTATTATTAGCTTAATGAACTTTTGCCAAGCACAATTTCTCTTGAATTGTGGTGGAATGCAAATGTGACAATTAACCTTGTGTTAGGTAAAATGTAATCTAATTTAAACAAAAAGAGAAAGAATTGTACTGCTCTCTAATTATTTTAACTATAATTTACCATTTGCTTAATTGGTTCTTAAAAAGTTTGGAGACCTTTTTTTTTTTTTTGTTTTGGCCGAGTAAAATGTTTGGAGACTTTACATCCAGATTAATGCACCCATTAGTATGTGTGCGCCGTGTGGCCTCCAATAAGAAGCTCCCTTTTCTTTTTTTTTTTTTAAAGAACCTAAATTCCATTTTTAGTCATTCACCATGAAACGACAATGGTACAAAACGACATAGTTCCAAAATACGACACTAACGTAAACCAACATACAGTATATGATATAAATTGTAAATGGACAGCGAAAATGGATATTGATTTCCACTAACGACATCAATATTCGACTAGAAAAAAGACATAAACTTGTAAAACTACAACAATATGAAAAAAATTATAGCAACATAAAAAACGACATGACCATGGATCAGACAACAACCGAAATAACGATAACAGAAAGAAAATTTGACAAAATCTTAATAAACATACCTTGTTATAAAAAACGACGGCATATATAATAATGAAAAATACAAAAGAAATTCCTGACACGGAATAATTATAACAAACAACAACAAGCAAACGACAATAATCTCAAAAAGATAAACTAGAAAGTGACAACAGAAAAGGCTTATAGCTTGAAAACGATATAATCCCGGAATAAGACAACAATCAAAACGACATAAGTCACATGACAATCAGACATTGGCATCATCGGCAAAAAAAAAAAAAAAAAAAAAAAAAAAAAAAAAAAAAAGAAGACGCGATTTCGGAAAGCAATGAGAAGAAAACAGTAACCTAAAACGACAACAGTGCGAAAAAACAAGATCATCATCTTTAAACGGCATAATCTCGAAAAAGGGCAATGATAAAAAGCGACTATAATTTTAAAAAACAATAGCTACTGCAAAACAACATTAAACTAAAAAGAACATCACTTGGGAAAGGACGCCGCATCGAAAAGATAATAACCCCAAAAGACAACAGTATGAAAAACGACAATAGGCTACCAGGAAACGACAAGAATATGAAACTCTAATTATTGGATGTTGAGAATGGTTATGTATTCATGTTTACCTTTTTTGTTTTTTTCCTTATATATGTAAATGTTTGGAATATTTCTTTCTATATTTAGAAACTGAATTGTCGACCGTCAATGGTTCTAAATGTATTTACTAGAATGCAAGGGAGGTTTTTTTTTTTCTTTTTTTTTTTCTTTTTCCCCTGAAAAAGACAATGGAGTTGGTAACGAGGATTTTCCATACATATAACAGATCTATATATTACAATAACAGGCAAAAAGCAAATACACCAAAACTTTAGAATGTTGTTGGCCTTGTTTAAGGACGAACCAATATCGTTTCCATTCGTAATATTCCTGGCAGCCTAAATTAAGAAACAGGCCATCTAGATTACTTGCAGAAACCGTGGCTAGCAAATTACGCTAAAAATTGCACACAAAATCTCTCCATCAAGGCCTATAATCGATCTAAACCTCACAATTAAAACAATAGTCAAAACATCTTTCGTTTTAGAAAATCAAATACTACCCACAAACAAAAATAGCCCAAAATGGGATCCAAGACCCTTCTCCAATTTATATATGTTCCACCAAACTCTTGAAAATAATTATAAAAAAAAAAAAAAAGAACGCTCAGACACCCAACGGCGACATATTGAAGCCTCCCTCTTTCCAACCGGATAATGCAGATTGCAGAGAGACCCTGAGAAAGAGAAAATATATATATATATATATATTTTAAAAAAAATAAGGGCAAAAAAAATATATATCATATTAGAAACGCAATGGCTTTGATTAACCGCTCCAAATCTTTCTCAATGGTCTTTCTCGCAATAGTCACGCTGCTATTCCTCTCCGGCGAAGCCGAGGGCCGCGGCCTCCGCGTCCGCCGCCCCAGAGGCCGCGGTGCCGGCGGCGACATCTGCCGGAGAGCGGACTACCCGGGCTTGTGTCGCGCCGTAGTGAGGGGACAGAAGAGCCCGTACGCGGCGTCTCAGGCGACGGTGAAGCAGCTGATAGCGGAGACGATAGCAGCGAAGAAGGCGGCGGCGAAGGTGGCGGGGAAGTACAGGCAGGTCCTTGGGGTGTGCAAGGAGAACTACGGCGACGCGTTGAGCAGCCTCAGGACGAGTCTCGGTAACATGAAGGCCCATGACAAGGGCAGCTTCAACAGCAACCTGTCAGCGGCGCTGACGGACTACGAGACGTGTGAAGACACCTTCTCGGAGATGGGAATAAGGTCGCCGCTAGCAAGGACCAACGCCAGGCTCCGTCAGATGGCGGACAACGGCCTTTATTTGGCCACCATGTGGCGCTAACATTAAACAATGTTAGAGGTATCGGTGAACATTACACATTGATAGAAAGTGCGTTATATATATAATTTATTTTCTATTAGCTATGATGCTTAGCATGGATAGTGTCCTTAAACATTTTCCTGTGAGTACTGTACCTTGCCTTGCCTGGCTCGTGTGTTGCTGAGTTTGGTCTCTATTGGGTAATTCTTTTTTTTTTTTTTTTTTTTTTTTTTGGGTAATTTTTTTTTTTTTTTTTTTTTTTTTTTTAAGGATGTATTTTGGGATTTTTGGTGTATATGTTTCTTTAGCATCTTTGCTGCCATTCATGCTTCGGAGACTTTGCAGTTGCTTGTTGTGGTGGTGGGTAAGAGGGAGATTTTTCATATCTATCTTTGCTTAATTGCTTTATATAATTTTATTATATATTATTTATTAATTTGATTAGTTATTTTTAAGCTAGAGATGGTTTAGCCTTTTAGGACGTTGTAATTTGATGATAGATTGGTTTGGTTGGGATACCATTTGATATAGTTTTATTAGTTGATGTAATTTTTATAAGATTTTCAAGCAAAAAAAAAAAAAAAAAAGCTTTAAAAAATTAACAATTTTAATGTGTAGGTACATTGTTGAACGTAGTTCATTTAATTACACACAGAATACAATGTTTTGTTTGTTAAATTAATACTGTATGTGATAATTGTCGTTTACCAGTATCGCGAAATAGAATATGTCGTTTCAGTTACTCAAAACAATTGTCTTCCTATATTATGCTATTTCCAAAAAAAAATGAAAAATAAATAAATAAAAACGTGTCGTTCAGATAATTATCAATTATAAAATGACGCCTCGTTTACGAGGGCCAATAACTCCTTGGGTTGATTTGACTCATTATCAGAAACGGCATGTTAGTTTTCTTTCGATATGATTTTTTTCGTCAAAGCAAAATGAAATGTCGTTTATTGAAAAACAGCACATGCAGGTGCATTGTCGTTTGTCGATTTATGAAAATACCAGGGTCGGGCATGCTTCCCCCGCCCCTGCCTTTGTCTTCACTTTTGCCTCTCAGGAATCAGGAGGCTTTTCTTATGCCTTAACAATTTGCCCGTTGAAAAAAAATCTTACAATATTATTAACACTTAAAGAGTAAATTGTATCAAATTAAATATAAAATTCAATAACATGTCATTATCATCTCATAAAAACAAACCAAAGTCTCAAAAGAAAATCCAAACGCTCAAAATAACTAACCAAATCTCAAAAACATAAAATAATAAAATTTCAATGCAGTACTTAGGTAATAAATTGAAGTCTTTGAACTAAAACATTTGTGACGCCCGGTTCATTTAACCATGCTACTAATATTTAATTAAGCTAGCTAATATAACAATTAGTTAGCTTAAGTTAATCATTAACTAGCTTAATTTATTAGTAGCATGGTTAATTAAATGAATCGAGCGTCACAATATTGGATACACTAAGAATATTATCCTTCTATTTTGTTTATTTCCTCCACACCAACCTTATTGCTTGCTTGTTCTAGTTCATAAAACTTAAAATTTGTAATAAGAAATAAGATAAAATATATATAAAAAATAAATACTTTTTTAAAAAGATAAAACTACATATATATCAAGTTGGGTGGAGCAATGGGTGCTTTCCTCACCCTACCCTACATCTAATTCGGGAATAATGTAAACACTCATATTTCTCTCCATGCTATTAGAGACGGGTATCCACAAGTGTCCACACTTATAGGTAAAAAACTTATCCCTAACAGGGAGGGAAGAGGACCGGAAAATCGTCGGTCGTATTTGGAATTGATTCTGTTTTTATTTTTCAAGTTTTTTGAGAAAGAAAAAATAAAGATATTTCCAAAATAACGTTTGGTGCAATAAAGATAAAAAATAAAAATAAACACGATTTTTTAGTTTAGTGTAAAATGTGAGAGAAATAAAAAATGACTTTTAGTCGTTTTTCATTTTTTGTTTGCGTTTTCTCCTCTCTCGAGTAGAGAGAGAGAGTGAGATAGAGATTAATGGGCTTTTTTATACTGAAAGTAATATTTTGATAAAACTACCAAACATATTTTTAAAAATAATTTATATATGAGATTGAAAATGTTTTCATTTCCTTTTTTATACAAAAAGTAAAATTATTTTAGAACTAATTCCAAACGCACCCGTCACTTCATATTTTTTCATTTCCAAATTGATCAAGCAAACAAAACTGTAAACTACCTCCTTTTCCAAAAAAAAAAAAAACATTTCATAATATTTCACCCACAAAAATAACATTTCAATTTTCAAATTAGTATGTTCATATCTGTATAAACCAATTTATGGGCTGGAAATAGATATTCGAGAAATCATAATTCATCTATGATCCTAGGAGACGGTAATGTTTAGTTCATGTATTCAGAATTATGATTCAAAATTATTCTCATTTTACATGTGTATTTTGTAAGAGAAAAATACTATAGTGAATCATGAATCATGATTTCGAATCAGAAACGAATACAAGAAATAAACGGACACTTACTATCTAATATCTGTGAAAAACAAGGTATATGCAAATCAAAGTACCATATATATAAAATCAAAGACGAATATCCCAATATATCTTTTATCATATCTTCAACATCAAAATCAATTATTCCATATTATTAATTGCATATTTAGATTTACGTGGTGGAAAGACGACAAAAGTACGATTTCTACTTATATATCTTTCATCTCTCATAAATGTGGTGCTTTCTCATTATAAGTAGATTCCGGGAATATAAATTAATGAACTCATGGATCCTCAGAATCATTTGAGAATTAAGATAACGTTTGTTCTAAGGATTTTATCTAATTTAAGATTATCGTTTTTAGTTATGTTATAATATTTTTTTTTATAAAAATTTAAAATTTAAAAATTAAAATAATAAATCATAATTTTAAACTCATAAACTAAACGTCACTTAAATATTTTGAAGTGGTCAATTACATAAAGATATCTCTTAGTTTTATGAATTTCTTAATCTATTTTTCTGTTTTTAGAATCTAGTACAAATGTATTTTAAGTTTGACAATTTTATTTTAATTTTATCCCTTACGTATGTTTTGGATAAAAAATAGGGTTAAAAGAGAAAAACACTCTTAAATGGTTTCTGAAAAATATTTTAAACATTTATAAAAGCAAAAAAAAAAACCAACATATAATATAAAATTCCAAAAAATATTATGAAGTTTTATCTTCTAAAGTAAATTCGGTTCTATTAAGAATATTTTTGTTTATAGTCTTGTTTTTCGTCCACACAAGTAAGCAAGAAATAAACTTGAAACAACTTTTTTTTAAAAAAAGAAAAAATTGAGAATTTATCTTTGAGAGTGTATGAGTCTGGATTTTTACTTTTTATTTTTAATAAATACCTTTTTATTAATATAATTATTTACCTAAACAAATCATAAATAAAAAATAAATGGTAAAAATTCTAACCCATATATTTTAAAGATATTTGTCAAGATTAAAAAAAAAATCAAAAGATCTCTTTATACATTTGAGCAAAAAAAAAGATCCCTTTATAGTTTCTAAAATTAGAAGAATAAATTGGGAAAACAATCTAAGAGGTGTATTTATTTATGTTAATATCCCTATTTTGAAAACATCTCCCTATTGCCACGAATTGAGTCAATATCCCAGCTCTCCACCAAAGGAAATTTTAAAAATATCCGAATGAGGCAAGTGATGTCAAATGTCAGGCTCAAAAATTCAATTATTAGGAAAATAAAAAAAAAGCTCAAAAACTCAGGAATTATTATTTTACAACAAAACTCAAAAAAAATTTAAACTCAAGTTATAATTTTATTTAAATTCATATTTTTTTGTAAAATTTGAGTTTGAACTCGAGTTTAAAGTTAAACTTGAGTTCAAGTTTCCCCTTCAACTCGAATTCAAGTTAATGAACAATATTTTTTTTATTCTTAAAAATGTCATAATTTTTCGTTTTAATTCTGATTGAGATGATTTTTTTATGCATTCACAACGAAAAAATGAATAAAAACCCACCCATATACCCTATTAAAAATTTTCATCACCATTGAGTTTTTATTAAAATACTATCTAAATATAAATTTAAGTTTTGACTCACCCAAACACAAACTCAAATAGATTCTCAATTCAAATCATAACTCAAATGTGCACATCTAAACACAAACTCAAGTTACAACTTCAACTCAAACTATAACTCAAATTCAATTCAAAATCATCACTCAAATCATTCTAATTCAAAAATACAAAAGAACAACCCCTCAATATTTGAAATACAAGTCTTACAATATATTACCAGTGTGAAGTGGGAACGCTCTCTCTCTCTATCCTGCATTTCTTCCTCTTTATGTGATCTTGACAAAAACTTTAGACAAAATATGGGCTCGTTCATTTTGCTGATTCGAGTTTGTAATTTGAGTTAAGATGTGATTTTATGTGAGAGTTTTTTACTGTAATAAAAAAGTTAAATGTGACTATTTTTAAGAATTTTTTACTATAACAAAACTTAAATTTTAAACTCGAATCGACGAAATGAACGGGATTCAAATAATCTGTTTTAACGACTCATATGCTATAGCCTATACACAAATTAAAAAAGGAAAAATCCAGATGTATATCTCTAAATCTAATACCACGTGTTACTCTTTCTAATAAAAAGTAATCATATCACAAGCTTTACATGTTATAATAGCAAAAGTGAGATTTATCACATTTCAAACGGATTGCTTCAGTGGTAGGCAAGTGTCTCACCCATATTTTTGCAATCATTTTCAGGCGAGTCTTTTTTCTTTTCTTCTTTTTTTTTTTTTTCTTTTTGTATCTTCCACCCCAAACTTTGTTTTTATAGCTCGTGAGTCAAATCTCTTTCATTATCAACACACTTCCGTGATGTATTTGCATTTCATATCTTTATTTATTTATTTATTTATTTATTTATTTCTAGACTTTTTCAATTACCAAACGGACGGACGAGGTTTAAAATAATATATATATATATATATATATATTTAAAAAAAAAATCCGACCCTCTTTAAATAATGAATCGTAGATATCACTAAAAGAGGTGTCATGCAGACAGTGAATATAATAGAATCTAGGTGTCTTGGAAATGACTGCAAATGGGTGCATATAAAATTGTGTTACATTGAATTTACGTAAATGACATTTTGGCTAGTTGACGAAATGGGAAATATCTTCTCACTTGAGATATTTGAGCTAAATATCACGCTTTTCTAAATTTAAAGATGAAATTGACCTATGAATCACTATAATGTAGCCCACATGCTAGCTGGTAATATTTTTGTTTCATCCCTTAATTTATTTTAACGTGATTATTTACTTTATTTTATTAGTAGCGTTGTAAGAAATAATTTTATTTGATTAATAAATCCTCTAAGTTTATCCTAAAAAAAAAATTCTCTCCATTTACAAAAAATTAATAATAACTATCAAAAGAAATTACGTCTTACAATTTTATTTTAAAATTAATTTCTCATCTATTCACTGAGGATCCAAAAAAGGAAATGTTAAGTCACATACTATGCTCCACAAAATCAATGAGAATTTTTTTTTTTAAAAAAAGGAAAAATAAACTAGAAATCCAAAAAGAAGAAATCTACAGTGGGAGCACCTATTATATAAACCATTAAAACTTTATGTTCTTTTGTTTAAAAAATTCAAGAAAAGACAACTCGAGTTTCAAATTTATTCAAGTTCATGTTCTTTTAAGTTTCAACTTTATTCAACTTTACTCAACTTTATTCAAGTTACAATTTTAACTCAAGTTATAACTTAAAAATTACACTCAAGTTACACTCTAAAAGAACAACCAAACACTGAAAAGTTAGTACAATTTTCATACGGGTGAATATCTAGAGACGTTTAGAATAGAGATTCGTGACATAATTCGAATCATAATTCATGATTCGTTACAGTATTTTTTTTCATAAAAATATAAAACGATAATAATTTTAAATTATAATTCTGAATTTATAAACTAAATATTCTCGACAGTTTAAAATATTTATCAACCTAATTTAAGTTCAAAAAGAAAAAAAAGAAATGGTAAATAATGAATTTCCCTCGGAGATGAGGGCAATCAAAAACCCAATCTAATTGATGAATAATATCGGTCTCTCAAATATCTCTCTCTCTTGACGCTCCCAGCATTCCCCACGTGACCAGTTCCACCACCGAGCTTTGCGGAACGTGGCCGAGTAAAAGACCGCCACGTGTACTTCGTATTGATAAAGCATCATTAACCGGATCTGTTTAATTCATTAATTAGAATTTTTAATTTAAATTAAGATGTAATTTTATAAAAAAAAATTTTATTATAATAAAAATATTTAATGTGATTATTTTTATAAATATTTTTATTTTAATAAAATTTAAATTCTAAATTTAAGTAAAATAACGCGACTTTAATTTGGGCCCCTGAACTCGAGAATCAGAGAGAAAGCCTACCAATTAAGAAAGAAAGAGAGTGAGAGTGAAAAACTGTGAAAGCTTTAAAGCTTAGCTTGAAGCTCTAATCCAATATTTCAGCAAAAAAGGCCTCGATTCTCACTTCTCGTTCTTTCATTTTCCAGAATCTGATCGTATATTCTCTGAATTCAGGAACTCCGATCAAAGGTAACTTCCACGATTCAGTTTTCTCGTTTCTTCCGAGACTTTGATCGGTTTTAGATTTTTTTTACGCCATTTTTGAGCTCGACATCGCTGAATTTGATAGAAATCTGATTTTGCAAAATCTCTTTGTTATTTTGGAATCTTCGAATCAGTGTATTTCAAGATAAATTGAGAATAATTAGTAACGAAATTTTCGTCGAAAACGACTGGACCTCTAAGATTTTTCCTTTAGAATCACGTTTAAACTTTTAACGATTTTGCACATTGTTCGGTGCTTTTCTGATTCGCTTGCGCTTTGATTCTTTTGGTTTCTTCAGAATCAAGAAGAGGCAACGAATATGAGCAGCTCCATTGGCAATAATATGCTCAACCAGAGTCTGCTCCGAAGCAAACTCAATTCTTCTGGAATTCCTGCAAACACATTGTTCCAAGCTTCGCGCGTCAACGCACCGACACGGAAGTCGCAGTCATCGAAGAAATTTTCCGGGAAAAAGTTGGTTGTCGAGAAACCAAATTTAGCAATGGGATCGCGTCGCCGTTCATCTGCCATTCCTCGTGCCGTCTTAGCCACCCATGCAGATTCAAAGGTAATTTCCACCTGCTGACATTTTGAATTTAATGGGGATGCAGACATTTATGTGATTTTTTTTTTTGTAATTTATAGAATTTGGTTTATTAGAAAAGGGTGTCTGTAATTAGGAATTGATGATAAAGGATACAAGTAGCTGTAGCCAATACTAATTAATTGGTATTCCTTTTTTCTTTTTTTTCTTTTTTTGAGGAATTGGTATTCCTTTCAAATAATAATAATAATAATAATAATAATAATAATAATTGGTGTAGCTTAGTACTTAGCTACTTATTATTATTTTGGTGGTCGGCATTTATGTTCGAGGTCCAAGAACAAATTTGCTGTCTACGAACATCTGGGTCGCTTATTTTATTTTATTTTTAATATAGATATTTTATCGTTTATTTTATTTTAGTGACCTTTTCTTTTAATATGTTTGGAGAAACTTTGAGAACGGTTGCGATCTATAGTTCATATTTTTTGGTATTTTAAATTCACTTCCTCTTAAAATGGTTATCGTTTTCCTTGATATTCATCTTGCTATTGAAGCGAAATCATATTGACTTTACTCAATATGTTAATGTCCAATTGAAATTTGTTTACAGAATGGTTTCAGCGTGAGTTTATGTTTTGACCATCCTTTTGTCTTGTAGCAGCTTGCAGAAAAATTCAACCTTGATGGAAGCATTGAATTGCAGGTACTTATAGTGTGAATTCTAGGTGCTTAGTGATCCGAAGTGTTTGGACAGTCTTTTGGGTTTAGTGAGTTGAGACACTTTTGAGTGATCATAATGTCAAACTTGATTCAGATTTCATTGGCAGAATTATACTAACAGAAGTTTGTTGAGTAGGTTGTTGTTAGTGCCCCAATGCCGGGTTCTCCCACACAAGTCGAGATTCAAGTCACGTATAGTAGTGATTCTTTGCTTCTTCACTGGGGTGCAGTTAAAGACAGAAAAGAGTAAGTTCAGCTTTTGGTGAATTTTTACTCAAATAAGAAAAGTTTTTGCCTTATAATTTCAGATAGTTAAATTTCTTATGCCATTTTCCTATTTCCAGAAAGTGGGTGCTTCCTTCTCGTCAACCAGGTGGAACCAAAGAATACAAGAACAGAGCTCTTAGAACTCCATTTTCCAAAGTAAGTCCTCCATATCAGAAGAAAAGTTCTTCGCCCAATGGCTTCTTCAACACAAATGTTTGTGGACCCATCCAAGTTCAGGCTGATATAAGTTTCATTTGCTTGTCAATTTTTCTCTAGTCTGGCTCCAATTCCTTCCTCAAAATTGAAATTGATGATCCTGAAGTACAAGCGATAGAGTTTCTTATAGTCGATGAAAGGAAGAATAAATGGTGAGATCTAAGAAGTTTATTTATTTATTTATTTTTTGAAGTCGAGTTACTTTCATTGTAAGCTGATTAAGGTTTCTTTTTTCTCCCCATCAAAACTTTCCAATTCACAGGTTTAAAAATAATGGCAACAACTTTCATGTTAAGTTACCTGCAAAAGAGGAGCGGATTTCAAGTGTTTCGGTTCCTGAAGATCTTGTGCAGATTCAAGCGTATTTGAGATGGGAGAGAAGGGGTAAACAGATGTACACCCCAGAGCAAGAGAAGGTATGTGAAATGTGCTCTATATCTGCATAATTAGATATTGTCATATTGCTGCATGTCCAACTGTATCTCTCTTTATTTTTTCTTCCTCAAGGGAGGAAGAATATTGGCGTGTGACGTGTGTCCGGGCAACAGTATCTCTCTTACTGTCTGCAGGGAAAGCTGTCTGTTCTTCCTCGTTTTATGATTTTCACCAACCTTTTTCTGGCTTAACCTATTTATTTTCTCTCTTTAGGTAGATATAGATTAAAAATGTTGAATACTAAATGTTCCTAGTTGGAATCTATTTAATGATTTCCAGCAAAATAAATACTGAAAAGTGGCGCATTTTATTATGCTATAGGAGGAGTATGAAGCAGCTCGAAATGAGCTATTGAATGAAGTAGCCAGGGGTATTTCCATTCAGGAACTTCGAGCCAGGCTGACTAAAGAGAATGATGGCGGTGATGTTAAGGAGCCATCTGTTCCGGTTTCAAAAGGAATCCCTGATGATCTTGTACAAGTACAAGCTTATATCCGCTGGGAGAAAGCAGGGAAACCCAACTACTCCGAGAAGCAACAACTTGTAAATTTCAAATCCCCTCTATCTGATCTGTTTGGAACATTTTTTCCGTGTGAAGTGAAGTTCTAGGCTCTCAGTGAAATGAATGAGCCATGTCCCTTGTTGTATGCGTTTTTTCTTGATATTAAGCTGTATCACCTAACATTCTTTTTACTTTTTTTTTCTGTGATAAATATGACGTTCAATAAAACAGAGGGAGTTTGAGGAAGCAAGAAAGGAGTTGCAAATGGAACTAGAGAAAGGTCTGTCTCTTGACGAGTTACGGAAGAAGATCAACCAAGGAGAGATACAAACTACGGTTGCCAAGCAATTGCAGGATAAAAAGTATTTTAGAGTTGAGCGTATTCAGCGCAAGAAGAGGGACTTGACGCACCTTCTCAACAAATATGCAGCTAAATCTGTGGATGAAAATGTTTCAGTCAAACCAAAAGCCTTGACAACAGTTGAGCTTTTTGCCAAGGCAAAGGAAGAACATGCTGGTGAAACTGTTCTGAACAGGAACATCTTCAAGATCGAAAATCAGGAACTTCTGGTGTGACAATGATGTGTTTATAATTTTCTTCATTTTATTTTTCAATGAAACGATTCATTTGTAAGTATTATGCTAATTTTCAGAGTGCTGACATAATTTTAAGGTACTCGTGACCAAGCCTGCTGGCAAGACAAAGATTCTTCTGGCCACAGATCAAAAAGAGCCAATTACTCTTCATTGGGCTTTGTCCAAAAACAATGCTGGGGAGTGGTTGGTAATATTCTATCCTCTATTAATTGAGAGGATGGTCTTGAGAATATGTTGAATAATGAGTTTCCTATAAATGTTTTCTGCTATATCTTTTTTCTGCATCTTTTCGTGCATTTGTAAAAAAATAAGTGACCCAACACGAAAGATTGAAAGTAAAATTCACGTTTTCAGGCACCACCTCCGGAAGTGCTACCTCCAGGTTCTGTTTCTGTAAACGGGGCTGTGGATACACCATTTTCATTTAGTTCTCATGAATCTACCAACGAGGTACTCCTAGACAATTACTTTTTTACCTAGTTTTCTTGCTTCAAAGTCTGCTAATGGTTTCAATTAAGTAAACAATAGTTTGAAAATTCATAATATAATTTCCAGGTCCAACATTTGGAAATAGAAATTGAAGAAGAAAGTTTTAGGGGATTGCCATTTGTCATTCAATCTGCTGGAAAGTGGATCAAGAGCAATGGCTCAGACTTCTATGTTAACTTTGCTGCTGGATCCAAGCAAGTCCAGAAGGTTGTTTCCAGTTTTTTGTTCATCATGTGACTCTCTTAGCTAGCCGTTTACAATCTTACTGACTGATATTTAAACCATCAAGGATACTGGTGATGGCAAGGGTACTGCAAAGGCTTTGTTGGATACAATAGCTGATATGGAGAGTGAGGCGCAGAAATCCTTTATGCATCGGTCTGTCTTTCTGAGGAGTAAAATTAGTTTTAGTTCCATAGACTTGGTTACTTCTTATTTCGTTTGATTTGTTTTGTGTTCATGACATTTATTTTCCTTTCTCTTAGATTCAACATTGCAGCAGACTTGACGGATCAAGCCAAAGATGCTGGAGAATTAGGTCTTGCAGCTATTCTGGTGTGGATGAGGTTTATGGCTACAAGGCAACTCATTTGGAATAAAAATTATAACGTGAAACCACGGTACATTTCTTACGATCTCTAGAATTTACCCATTATAACTTTTTTGTGACATTTAGGTCTTGGGATCTTTTCCGGTTTTCCCCTTTTTCTTGAATGGCTTGCATCATGCAACAAAAAACAGCTGAAGAAAAACAAACAAACAAGCAGACTCATAGTCGTTTATCCTCGATGTGAGAGCTATGTTCACTTTCAGCTACCGCAAAATTTCACTATGATGAACTAGATACAGCTCAAGGGTTTTAGACTCTTTTTCTTTTTTTGAAACCCAAATCTCCATGGTCGATCTGGGGTCAGCTAGGGCAATAATTGGGCTCGATACACTCACTAATTATTTATGAAAAGACTTGTCTTTTCCTAAATTTTACATGAATGTGGGATGTTGTGTCCTCTGAATCTAACAGTAAGTTCTAATGATACAGTGAGATCAGTAAAGCACAAGACAGGCTCACAGACAATCTCCAGAATATTTATACAAGTTACCCAGAATATCGGGAACTTCTGCGGATGATAATGTCTACTGTTGGTCGAGGTGGTGAAGGCGACGTGGGACAGCGAATTCGGGATGAAATCCTGGTTCTTCAGGTGGACACCTTTTCTTATTTTTATTTTTTAGTTTTGTGTTAATGAATTTAATTTGCCCTTGCTCTTGTCTGTGGACAAATTTTTGAGTTTGTTAAACTCTTATTATTGGCTATATGCAGAGAAACAATGATTGCAAGGGGGGAATGATGGAGGAATGGCATCAAAAGTTGCATAATAACACTAGCCCAGATGATGTTGTTATTTGTCAGGTATTGATGTTGTAAATATTACAAGCGACTTGGGACTCTCTAGCCGTTGATGCTTTTTCACTCGGTATTTCATTGCAGGCTCTAATTGACTATGTCAAAAGTGACTTCAATATTGATGTTTACTGGAAAACTTTGAATGAAAACGGAATAACAAAAGAGCGGCTTCTTAGCTATGATCGTGCAATACATTCTGAACCAAATTTCAGGACAGACCCGAAAGGTCTTCTTCGGGATCTAGGAAACTACATGAGAACATTGAAGGTTAGCTTCATAGACCTCTAAAGTTATCACATTCCTTGTTTTCCCTTTTCAGTTATTAATCCTCATGAGATACAACTAGTAAACTATGGAGATTTTGTTGTTTTCTACACGGTAGGTTAAGTACATTTTGTTGCAACTCAAATGTATGAAAATTTGAATAAACTGACACTACTTGCAGGCAGTTCATTCAGGTGCAGACCTTGAGTCTGCCATTTCAAATTGTATGGGCTACAGATCAGAGGTAACTTCAGTAACTGGCTTGAATTTCTCAAGACACTTGGAGTCTGTTGTTAGCATTTGATAGCATTTTATTCTCTTCAGGGTGAAGGCTTTATGGTTGGAGTACAGATAAATCCTGTATCAGGCTTGCCATCTGGATTTCCAGTAATGTTTTAACTTCATCTTAATTCTTCTACGTGTTTTTTTTTTTTTTTGGTTGAAAAATTGACATATATTTTAATCAGGATTTGCTGCAATTTGTCCTAGAACATATTGAAGACAGTAATGTTGAAGCCCTTCTTGAGGTTTGTCAAAATTTTTCATTGGCTTCCTCTTTGCTGCAATCCCATATGCTCTAGTTTTGATTTTGAAAATATATTTTATTTTTTGATGTAGGGTCTGCTAGAGACTCGGCAGGAGCTTCGGCCATTGCTTTCTAAGCCAAATAATCGCCTGAGGGATCTTTTATTTTTGGACATCGCCCTTGATTCTGCTGTTAGGACCGCCATTGAGAGGGGATATGAAGAATTAAATACTGCTGGACCAGGGGTAATTTCTGTTGATCTGACTGGTACCTAAATTGTTCGTGATAAATTTCTCTTTACTTTCTTGTGTTTCATTATTCACTTATATTGTCCAGTTATGTGTAGAATATGTGTGAATTTTTTTTCTTTTTTTGGCTGGGAAGAATATGTGTGACTTTGGTTTTACACAGATTAGCTGATTTATGCATTTTGCAGAAAATAATGTACCTCATCGCTATGGTTCTTGAAAATCTGGCTTTGTCCTCAGATGATAATGTGGATTTGATCTACTGCTTGAAGGTAAAGATACTCATGTTTTGTAGCTATTTTTTCGATGAAGTAGCAAAGAATAAGATATCTTGATACAGATATATATATATATATATATATATATATATTTTTTTTTCTAGACGTTAGAAATTTCCTCTTTCATTTATTTTTTTAGTTTTTCTTGCATTGCTTATGCAGGGATGGAATCAAGCTGCCAGCATGTTAAAGAGTAACAATGATCACTGGGCATTATATGCAAAATCAGTCCTTGACAGAACCCGTCTTGCTCTTGCGAGCAAGGCAGAGTGGTATCAGCGTGTTTTGCAACCATCTGCGGAGTATCTTGGATCACTGCTTGGAGTGGACCAATGGGCGGTACTATATACCTCTAGTTCACGTTCAAATGTTTGTCTTGTTTGTCTGTATTATTGCATCAGCTGTTTTTGTCCTTATTATTGCTCCTTGCAGGTGAACATATTTACTGAAGAAATTATTCGTGCTGGATCTGCTGCTTCTTTGTCTTCACTTCTTAACCGACTTGATCCAGTTCTTCGAAAGACAGCTCATCTAGGAAGGTTAGTTATCAGTTTTCTCTGACTACCGCCCTGTTAAAAGCTTAGATAATTAGAGATATTACTTTTAAAATTCATTGACAAAAAAAGGAAATGCCTTGGGCTTTTTTTTTATCCAGGACAGTTGAAAATTAAGGGTCTTGAATGTTGAACCACATTCTAGCCTTCACTATCACATGGTGTAATGACTTTCCAATGCGATTTTTTATGCTGTGGAACAGTTGGCAGGTTATCAGCCCAGTTGAAGTTGTCGGATACGTTGTTGTCGTGGATGAGTTGCTTGCTGTTCAGAATAAATCTTACGGGCAGCCAACAATTTTAGTGGCAAAAAGTGTTAAAGGAGAGGAAGAAATTCCAGATGGTACTGTTGCTGTGCTGACACCTGATATGCCAGATGTCCTATCTCATGTTTCTGTTCGAGCAAGAAATGGCAAGGTAAGCATTCATCAGTTTATAGTTTTCTTGGCACCATATTTGATAGGAAACTGTTGAAACGGCCAACTTTTTATTGGCAGGTCTGCTTTGCTACGTGTTTTGATCCAAACACACTGTCTGACCTACGAGCCAGAGAAGGGAAGTTGTTACACTTAAAACCAACATCCGCTGATATAACTTATAGGTACTTTCATCTCTTCAGCTCTAAGATGTCACAAACCTTATATTCTGTGCATGATGAAATGGTATCACCAATAATATGTGCTAATAGGATAGCATTGACAAAGTGAATAGGACTGACACAAAAGTCCTTGCTTTCTTATATAACTTTTTAGTGAGGTAAAGGAGGATGAGCTAGCTGATGCAAGTACAAGTCCTCTAAAAGAAGGGGCACCATCCACTCTGACTTTGGTCAGAAAAAAGTTCAACGGTAGATATGCCATATCGTCCGAGGAATTCACAAGCGAAATGGTAAGTCTTTCAACATTTTGTTTCAACTTGAATCTAAAGTAGTTATATTCCTATGTTTTTATATTTGGTATTTTTAACTTCTAAGGGCATTGTTATTGATTTTTGTAAGACTTACATAATGGTTGTGATTGTCCTAGGTTGGAGCCAAATCACGGAATATTTCTTATCTAAAAGGAAAAGTTCCATCTTGGATTGGAATTCCTACATCAGTTGCCCTCCCATTTGGAGTTTTTGAGAAAGTTCTCTCAGATGATTCAAATAAGGTCTGCATCATTCCTTAACTTCATGCACCTGTAAGGCATTGCACAGATACGTTTGTGCACTCTCTTTTTTGTCGTTTGTTTTTCAGAAAAAAGAATATTAAGTAGAGGAAAAATTGGGGGCCTTTTTGTTTAGGGTGTAAAAGAATTCTATGTTAATAGTCCAAATCCTAAATTTACAAGGCTAGGACTCCCTAGTTACTAGAAAAGTATATTAAATGATGTGTTTCCTGTTTATAATTTGTAGGAAGTGGCCGCAAAGCTAGAAATTCTGAAGAAAAAGCTGAAAGAAGAAGATTTTGGCTCCCTCAAGGAGATTCGCGAGACAGTTTTGCATCTTGCTGCACCACCCCAATTAGTATGTCCTTCCTACTTGTAGCTCTAAGATTTCATTTATAGCAATCACGTACCACATAATATGAGCTCCGTGTCTTGCGTATCTGTAAAGAGTTCTGTCCTGGCAGCGTCTGTGGCACCCTGTTGCTCGCTTCGCCCAAAAGTGAAAAAAGGAAATAAATAGACAGATAACTAATAATGGTTTTCTACTATGTAAATCATGCAAGAAACTCCACATTTCTAACTATGCGTTTCTTACTTTCTTATACTTTTTTCCAAATTTTAGTTGCTACAGAAGAAGCTATACACGAACATTTCCCAAATCAAGAACAAAATTTTGCAAGTCTGACATTTTTTATTTTCTTGACTAAATACGTCACTCAATATATCATTAAAGTAGCAAAAGTACTACTTAAAGAACTCAATTTATTTGGCCTTCCAGGCAGAAACAGAGAGATGTAGTTAAAGCTTAAAATTGGAAGATGCTATAGCTTACATGAAGTTATTTTCAGGTACAAGAGCTGAAAACTAAAATGAAAAGTTCTGGAATGCCTTGGCCTGGTGATGAAGGTGAACAGAGGTGGAATCAAGCATGGACGGCTATAAAAAAAGTAAGACTACTTTGTCTCGTCTCATATGCCAAAGATCAGAACCTTATTGGAGCACAATAATGTGCTTTCTATTCCAATAATGCTGGACAATAGAGATTAACTGCCTCTCATGTTAGTGTTGGAATTAATTAATGTTTTCCGTTTCTCTAATTTGTGTCTCATTGTTGATACATAACTCCTTTTCTCGATCACACTTTTTTCTCTGTTATATAAATTCATATATTTTTTTTAACAAGCAAACCCATAAATTTTATTTTAAAAGAAAAAAAGTAAGCAAATTCATATGTTATTTTTGTTTGTCAGTACTACTTTGGTGAGACAACTGAGAGAACTAAGAAATTATCTGAATTCAGATGTATGTAATTTTCCGTAGAGATTGTAGAAAGGACCTACTATGTTGTATTTTCTTCCCAGCTACAGATTTACACACGCTCTTGAATACTCTCCTAGTAGAAACTCAAATGGTTGCCAAGTATTCTGTTTGGACTTTTCTTTATGGTTTGGGCTATGCTATTCGTCTTTCATAATTCAGGTCTGGGCTTCAAAATGGAATGAGAGAGCATACTTCAGCACAAGAAAAGTAAAATTAGACCACGATTATCTCTGTATGGCGGTTCTTGTTCAGGAAATTATTAATGCTGACTATGCATTTGTTATCCACACAACTAATCCATCTTCAGGAGACGACTCAGAGATATATGCTGAGGTAATTTTCTAGTTTTCATTTTGCTTTACTTTTTAATTATTTGACCAGGGACACTGATCTACTCTGATTACTTGAATAGGTTGTTAAGGGACTTGGAGAAACCCTAGTCGGAGCCTATCCTGGACGTGCTTTAAGTTTTCTCTGCAAGAAGAATGATCTGAATTCTCCTCAGGTATTGAATTCTGAATCTCTCCTTGATAAGAACATAAGATATCAATGGATAGAGCATCGAATATGCTGTCAAAGCCAAATTGCTGGTTTCAGTAATTATATTCACGTTGAAAGTAATCAAGAAACAAACCAATCATCAAACTTCTAGTGCAAAACAAAAATAGCTTCAATACAAGTAACCCTGTCAGAACCATGGAAATAAAGATCATGGTGATGATTCACACTATTTTTGTGGAAAATTTTTCAGGTGTCGGGTTATCCAAGTAAACCCATCGGACTCTTTATAAGACGGTCGATAATCTTCCGA